TATATTTTCCCTCCTTTCTTTCCCCCAATTCTCTCATCTCACTTGTTCCTTTCCTTCAGTTTCTTTCCCTTTCACACTATCTACTGTACCTTTCTTATTTATTTCACTAGTAGTAAGTATGATGTCTAGTAACATCCATTTACCTATAAAAGCCTCAAGTTTATCTTTTTATAGCTGAGTAATATTCCATTGTATAAAAATACCACATAGCAGTTCTGGAAATCCTATTTGTGAGTGCCTTTACCAGGTATGACCAAAACTATAGTGAATGCTGCTTCCAAGTGCCATCCAATGGGAAGGCAGGAAGCAGCCTGGTTAAAACATTAGTGTGTCTTTATGTACCTTACTCACTGAGTCTGGCACCATGCACCTTCTGGCTGTTTTCCAAAGTCAAAATTACTATGAAAGGCAAATATTTTGATTCCATTTGGAATATCAAGGCAGCCATGACACAATTAAAGACACTTATAAACGATGATCTCCAGAACTGCTTCAGAAAGTGACAAGAGTGAGGCATGGTGATGCATACCTGTAACCCCAGCATTCAGGTGGCTGAGGTAGAATTGCCACGAGTTCACAACCAACCTGGGCTACATTGTGCATTCAAAACTGGCCTGAACTACATAGCAAAACCTTGTCCCAACCTCACACACACACACACACACACACACACACACACACAAAGAAAACAAGTGGCAAGAACAATCGGTTAAGTAAATTCTAAGTGAGTATTTTGAGGGTGATTAATAGCCATGTGTCTTTAAATTTTAAATATTTACTGTATTTTTCAACCATACCTCATATATAGATTAATATAGAAGTATATTTGCTTTGTATTGCATACTGATTTTTAAAACTCTTAAAATTTCCATAATAAATTTTTTAAAAATTTTGAAGTTGTTTAGATTTCAGTTTCTTTGTAAAATACTACATCACTACAGAGTAATTTTGATAAAATGCAAAAGAAAACTGAGTCTAAAGATAAATTTTAATTTGTTATTGTGGTAGAATTTTGACAGGAGTCTCATAGTACATAATGAAATATATGTTTAGAGAAAAATGTTTGGTACCTTCATTTGTATTTCAAGGTGTAGTTTAAATTCTTTACATAATAATGTTTTTTTTTTCTTTTTTTTTAACCGTACTCTATTTTCTTAGATTTCCTCCTGTTTTTATTTCCTCCTAAATATATCAGTTTGGGAATTCTGTCTTTGGACATGATTGTGGGTGGTCCTCAAGGCTGATCCCTAACTCCCTGATCACTAATTACATGTAAAGTTATATTGGGGCTGGGGAGGTGGCTCAGTGGAATAAACGTTTCCCTGACAAGTGCAAGGGCCTGAATTCAATCCCTGGTTCTGCCAAAAAATTAAAAAATAAAGTTATATTTTATATAATGAGTTAAAAAATGTGCATGCACCCATGTGAGGTCTTCTATAGTAACATTTCAAATTGAGTCTGGCTGCCAAGACATTACCAGAAACTGCTGAAAGAAGAAAACACAGCCCTTTGGGACTTCCTAGTAATTGTTGCCACTGTATACCCTACCTTTTTGCTTAGTTTCAATTGTCATTTTCGGATTATTTTTTTAACATAGGGTCTCACTGCGCAACTCAGACTCATAGTGATCCTCCTGTCTCAGCCTCCCCAGTGCTGGGATTACAGGCGTGTGCCACCATGCCTGATTTCGGGGCCAGCACATAACGCCCAGGATTCCAGAGCCAGCACAGCATGTGGTACTGGGGATTGAACTTAAGTCCTTGTGCTTGCCAGGCAGGTATTTAGAGTGCTGAGCTATCTCCCTCAGATGTCATTTGAAAATTCCAACAAGAGTAGTTCATTTTTGAGTAACTATACCATGGGAAATATTAGACACGAGCTAAGTAGGCCAAAGAGAACGAAAAGCTTGGATGAAAGGAAGTTAGGCAAGAAGTGATCAGTAAAGGGGACTCTTAAAAGAGGCAAAGGAAATTTACAAGTTGAGAAAAGAACCTAGAAATTCCTTAGACTCATTGCTTTCCCCTGCCCCATAGTGTCTCTCATCCTGTTGAAGTATTTCCACCTTCATGGGCCATTTTTACTGTTTCATTAACACATTGCTCACTATGCAAGAGGCTTCAGAAACTACCCACTATTTCCTAAACAGCAGTTTCCTCACCTTCATACCTTCATAAATCAGCACTAGCTACCAGCTAAATATACCTATCTAATCTTAATCCCCACTCCTTTTGTCATGTTTTCTTTCCTTCAGCCCATTGAAATTAACTTTGACTCATTAAGCATGGCTTCTGCTTTCACATCTCATATCGCCTCGTTAGCCTGAAAATGGACTATCATCTGTACCTTTTGCAGTTCTGCGCAAACTGAGATGCAGCTCTTCATAAAGCTTTTATAATCACAGCAGTCTGAAGGAGGCCTTTCCTCACCTGAGGGACTGTAGCACTTTGCACCTCTTCTTCTGTCTCATATTGGCTATTTGTTCTTGCCTTATTTTTATTACAGGATCCTAAGCTCTTATGAGACACAGATTCCAACTTTGTTTTCTCCATAGTACCTAGCACATTGTCTTCCTTACATACATGGTAATGAAAATGTGTTAGATGAGTAGTAGAAAGAAACCTCATAAAAATTAGGTATTCAAACACAAATTTCACATTCTTTTGCCTGATTCTGTATTTCTTTCTGTATAGAAATAAGAAATAGATGACTATTTTTTATTAGTACCTCTCATTACCTCTCACAGTGAAACTGAGTTTGTGAAATGGGAACAATACATCCCACCCAGGATTGATGTCTGAGTGTCTGAGCACTGAACTATAGTGCTACAGTTTCTCAGGCCCGGCCATCATGCCATAGGAAGGAAAACTACAATATCTTGTGCTTCTTAAATTCCTTTCTGTAGATTTCTTAAGATTGTAATTCCTAAGAGAAAAAAAAAAATGTAATTCCTGGGGCTAGGAATATAGCTGCCTGGCAAGTGTGAGGTCCCGAGTTTGATTCATGGTACCAAAAAAAAAAAAAAAGAAAAGAATGTAATTCCTTTCCTAATAAATTTTATGCATCAAAAATATCACCTGTGATATTTAATGTTTTTAACTGAAGATCCAGTGTTACCATTAATTCAGTTAATGATACATATGAAAAGTATGAGAAAAATATTTTTCTCATATTTAACTTTTATGTTTCAACTAAATCCAATTGTTTTTGAATGTTCATAACTCAAATAAAATATCTGTGCCAACATTTTGAGAATAAATAGCTACAAAAAAAAACTGACAATATATTCTTTGGTGGCAAAAGCTATATACACGAAGTGAGCAACTATCAGCTATTGTTAACTGAACTCATATGCAAATGTGAACACAACTCAGTTATAATTACATTGTATGTATTAGAGTCTACAGAGTGTTCAGGAAAAATATAGTGAGTTTGATCGTAAGTATTTTGTCTCATTGTTTTGTCATTTCCAGCTACTAGGCTTTCCAAAGAAAACATTTATTTTTTTAGTTTTGTGTATGCCTTGAGCTTTATTCCCAATTGCTGCTGTTAAAAAATTGAAATGGTTCCAAAACACTGCTATTGTTTTTCTATTTTCCTCCTATAACTACTATTTAAACATCAAAGATATTCTGGTACTTTCATCTTGTAGAGTGTATATAAGATCGTATTTTCCCTAAAGGTAGTCGCTGTACAGGACTTTTTTTTTCCTCCTTAACTATTAGCCTTGTTTTTCAGAAGTCATCTCACTGGTAGCCTTTTGATTTCACAGGCTCATTGTATGGAGGAATAACTGCAGTGGGGTCATACTAGAAGCAAGGGGATGAATTAGAAGCTCTTTTTTAGAATATTTTATGCAGATGTTCAAAAAAAATCCACTGTTGTTACCTATCAAAACACAGGTTGTGATAATCAGTTAACTTGGGAAATTTTTAAACTAAGGCATGCTGTCAGGCCCTCTTGTAAGACTGAAATTTAAAAATTATCCACTTCCACCAAAACTTCTATTATTATGACAATTCCCATGTACATGTTTACTGTATCCATTATGAAAACATTTACAGGATGTTTTCAAAGTTTTATTCAGTCTGTTAGTTGGGAGTGTTTCATGAGATTCACCTTTGATTATCTGTTAAAATGATATATAAAAATTATGTTTGTGTGTCATATACATATCTCATATCAGTTTTCCTTATATTTAGTATATATAGCACTGTATTTTTTAAACATATGTGCTAAAGAAGCAGTAATTATGTGTTAATATGTTTTTGGAATCCCTATGTAGTTAAACAGATCTTCCTAACAGCAGATAATGGGTTAGTAGTCAAAAAGAAAATATTTGAATGATCAAAAGAGAAATCCAGATATTACTAAAAGCAGCATTGTTGATGAATAGATAAAAATATAAATTAAAAGGTTCACTTGGTAAAAGTTATAGTAAATACGCAGTGCAGAAAAAGAAAGAACAAAGGCATTTTGAATATCAAAATGCTGAAGGTATTTCTATTTTGATATTGTGATCTCATAGAGTATATTAAATAAATTTCATCTTCAAATTGCTATTTTGTCCTTTATCAAAGGAAAAAACAAGAATTTAGGCTCAAAAATAATGCTACACGCACTCACTTTAACTACTGTCTAGCCATAACAAGGAATAAATTATTAGCCAAAATCTAAGGTTCTTTGATCTTGCATTTAAACCCTCTTGTCCTCCCAGTGAATGAAATGGTCCTTTTTCAAATGGGCCTTTTACTACCTGATAGGACCATTATTTTTAAGAAGATTTAAAATGTGATCTGGAAGATTACATTGACTCTATGTGGCATATTTGCTATTCTTAGCCTGGTGAAATAAACTGGAAGCGGGTGAAGAATGCAGGTTAGAAAGAAAACAGATGCTAGATATTAGAAATAGAAAGGTTTTCCAACAATGAGACTTTCATTTCAGGACTAGATTTTCATTGGCACGTGGGATATTATGATGATTATTGTTTTTCTCTCCAGCTGTTACACATCTGTATTGAAGGTTGGGGCAATTGGCGTTGGTCAGAACCCTTCAATGTGGACCATGCTGGGACATTTATTAGAACAATTCAGTACAAGGGTCGCACTGCTTCACTCATCATCAAGGTTCAGCGACTCAGTGGAGTGCAAAAACAGGTAAGTTTCTTTGTGTTCATGATCCAGACAACTCTGAAATATTTGTAGTCATGGAGATTAAAACATAAGAAAAAGGTCAGTAGTTGATACTGAAAAGACCACAGTGGCTATCGCACCTCCACCACGCACCCAAGCACTTAGTGAGTGCTTGTTGGTGATCCTGAGGAGGAGGATGGTTCAACCCCTTTTACAGGAGCTGCTAACGAGCAGTAAAATTTACTGATTTGAGTTTCCCCTCTTCTCCCTGTCAGCACCTACCTTCTGGTGGAGGTGCTAATGAGCTGTGAAATAGCCAAAAAGCCTTTATTGCAAAGAAAAAAAAACAAAAAGAGTGCTAGGAACTCCGGATAATCCACCAGTGGATAACCAGGAGTTGATTCTTATGTATGTCAGGAGAAGCTGTGGGGAAGTGTCATGATACTATCCTGTGACAAAGGGGGGCTGGATCTTCAGCACCCTTTTCTTTTTCTAGGAGTTAATATTAGCTGCAATAAAAATTCACTACAGTCCAACTCTTGGCATATAAAACCTCAGTTCTCAGCACATATTTTTTACGTATTTTATAAAACTTCCTTTTGGCTGTTTTTGAAGTTCTAAGAATGTAAAAGGAAAAAAGTATCTGACACTTTTTTGTGTTCTTAAGATGTGAAAATGTGGTTTCTAAAGCATGGTTTTGAAGCACGGAACATATGACAAGAGTAGAAAGAAAAAAAGGAAATATTAAAATTGGAAAACTGACTTCACTGCACACATAATAACAGCATTTGTCATAAGAGTTTTAAGATATACATGTGCATCTGGATTGTAACAGTCAACCCAGAGCTTATGTGAACTGAGCACATGATAGAAACAGCACTCAGTCCCTGCAAAGGAGGAGCTCTTCGTATGGAATAATAAGGGTTCTTCAATTGCTCTATGCCAAGAAACAAGCAGGAAGCAACTGGCGAGAGGAACAGTAGGCCCCATACCGTATACATTCCCGGTCTGCACCTAATCAGAGAGCTGGACTTGATGTTCTCATCATTGTGCATGACAGAAATGAAAGTGAACCAGGGCAGAGGAGTCCAGAAAAAGAAAAAACATGAAGAGCCTTCTTCATTAACTGGTCACTTCCCTGAGCATGTGCTGATTGCTTACGGTGGAACCAAATAAAATGGGAGATACCAAATATGTAACATAAGCTTTGCTTTTAAATTCCAATTTTATGTAAGTCCATCTATGTATACAACTGATAGTAAATGTGAAGGGAATTTAGAAGTTCTACAAGAATATGCAATTTGAGTTTGGGTTTTGGAAAATATGTAGAATTTGGATTAAAAAGAGCACTCCAAGCAGACAGTAAATAGAGACACATATGTGGGATTAATTAATCTTACTGAAGAACTCAAGAGGAGACAAGCCTACTATTTTGAGCTCTGAGCTATGGACATAAGAGCTAGAAGGGTCTCTGAATCCTGTTTTCCCTCAGCGCCCTCTAACATAGGCAGGCTTAATAAATACGTACTGGTATTCTGGTTCCATCATTCCCACTCTGAGAAATGTTTCATCCACCTTCCCAACCACTAACAAGAAATGGTCATTCAGTCTCTGTCTGAATAGTTCAGATAAGAAGTGCATTCCCTCACACTACCAACTATTAAGAAACTCTCTAATCTTTCACCATTCCACCAACTTTTACCATTGTTAAGAGCTATTAGGCATACAGCTAGCATACAACAATTTTAAAATTGTTGGTAACTGAGGAATCCACAAATCCCCTCTATAGCCTTTCAAAAATGTGAGAGTACATGCTTCTTCTTAATGTCCTTCTCTACTTTAAGCCAGTGGTTCTGTAACTCAGTGTGTATCAGAATATCTAGAGGACTCACCAAAACATAGATTTTTGAGTCTCATAGGCTTTCAGATCCAGGAATCTAGGGTATGACCTTATAATCCCATTTCTATCATGTTCCCAGGAATACCAATACTAATGATCCAGGGCCTATATTTTTTTTTACTACTGTAGCTCTAAACTAAACTTTCCTAGTTTCTTCAACTGTTTTGCATGTAGTTGATAAAAGTTTTACCAATGAGTAAAATTGGAGAAATAGTTTTAATGATATATTACTTAAGATCATACGTAGGCAACCTGTCTTCATTCCCTTGCTATGTGATCTTCAAGTTATTTGACATATTTCTAAGTCAATCTTTTAGTCAATAAAATGAGCATAGTAATAGTACCTTCCTAAGGTTACATAAGGATTAAATGAATTGGTGTACACAGAGTGCTTACAGTGTTGCTTAACCCATTGGAAAAAAACAATAAACTTCACTTGCAACTGTTATAATAAGATATGTTTAGGCATGAGTAATCAGAGTTGGACTTTTTTGTGTTACTATAATAATGATACATTCTTGCATACATACATATTTTCAAGGAAAGATGCTGAATTTCAGGGCTAAATTGATATATATGTTTTTTCCTGCACAGATACTACACAGGCAACATTATACCAGATGTCCCCCCAAAATGTAGTCATTTGAAAATACATTTCTAAAATCTTTTTATAAAGGACACTTATGTCCTTCAACCCCAACCTCCACCCTCATACACTACACACACACACACACACACACACACACACACACACACACACCCTTAAATGTCTTTTTCAATTGGATTTCGTTTTACTGTCAGGATAGCTTAACTAGCATTCAGATTAAAGTTAAAGTACATTAGAGACAGGATTTCCTCAATTGGCGTGGTTAGGAAGAAAGAAAAGAACCAAGCTTCAGAAGACCTTTGTGGATTCCTGCCTCCCTCACATCTTGGCTTCTTTCCTACTTCCCCACCTGGGCCTGGAAATTTGCAGTAAATTGCAGCTGCCTAATTACCAAAGCTCATTTGGGGAGGTGAGTGTGTGCAGATCCCTGATGTACCTTAACCACATTAATATATCCCTGGATAATGGACAGTTGTCTAAAGCTCCTTTTTAACATTGATGCTTAGTTATCTGTACTCTGTCTTTCGTGTACTATTCTCGTTTCCCCATGCTGAATGTAAATTGATCACATATAAAGTTTCCCAGGGACTTTGTACATTATACAACTATTCATGTACACATACTTGCTTCTGTGTTTCTCATCCCTTCGTTGAAGAAACCTTTACCACTTCAAAAAGTTCAGTGTACATATGTATGTGTGTAGGTTCATATCTTTATGCATATACATTTAATCATGGCTAAGATATCATTTTTCCAGTGCATCTGGTGCTCTGGACTTATTCTTTAATATCACTATTCTTCTTGGCACTGATCTAATAAGAGTTCTGAAACCTGCTAAGTAAAATCATATGTGGAAATCTTCACTACATATCTTTGTGGCTTTGAGAAAGGGAAATTGGTGTGAAACCTGGAAATGTGTATTAAAGAAAAATCCTACATTAAAAAGTAAGTAGCTGTCTTCAGCTGATAAATTAATCTTGAAATTCTAACCATAATTTTTAAAATAAAGGCACTATAAGATGGCCACTTTTAAGAATAGCAGATTGAGATCTCCTGAACTCTGCAGCCTGAAGGAGCCACACTCCAGAGTGGCCATTTTGAATTTCCCTTCATCCAAGTAATACTTTGCCACGTTTATGGATCTTCTTTTCTCCAAATTTGAAAGCCTATTTAATAGGCTTTTTAGTTGAAAATGAAACTATAAAAAATCCACCAGGAGTATCTTTGTCTTTAAACAAATTGAGTCCCAGATGGTTGCAGAGATTCTGTGGTTTCTATGAAAGACAGTGAAATTCTCATCCAAATTTCCTGGAGTCCAAAGGTTCCAAAGCAAAAGTCACACACATATGTTGTCAGGCTTGGGTATATCAATAACAATAACAAAGTTAAATACTTCCTCCACATTTTCACATGTTTATTTATGTTTTTTAATTTTTTATAATTTTCTTTTATTTTGAAGAGTAAAAACAAGAGCAAGAAAAACAAAGACAGAAACAGGGTAACATATCACAATACATACGTTACATATTTTCAGAACAAGAATAGCTGATTAACAATGACTGATATAGTTTCTATTTTTATCATCAAATCTGTTGCTCAGATTAACATATATAGTTATGCAAGATGGAACATAGGAGAAAAGATAAATAAGGTAGGGTCAAAACCATATATGTATATATACAAGATGGCTAAGGCAGTTGTTCTAAGAATTTCCATCAGGTTTTTGAAAGTAGCAGTTAATGGGTAGAATTCTCACCTTGACTAACTCTCTGTGCTGATAACTGTGAACTAAGCAACTACGTTGAGAACAGCAATGTGTAATACTAAAACCATGCTTGAAATACCTGTCATCTTGGTCTTCTGTGTACCATTTCTAATGTACAGTAATTATTACTATACTCTTTAAAGTATTTTTTTAAAGGTAATAAAAGAAAATGAGAGATAAGAACAAAAACTTAAGTTTTCTTGAAAGTGTGTGGTGATATTCTATCACATGTTAGGTCCTGCTATGGCATCACAAGACTTAGCATGAGCATCTAGTAATGCCTAGCATATGCTAAAGAAAAGCTTGGTTGCTAATTTAGGACTCATAGTTCAATTGACTTTAATGGTTTGTTATTGTAGAAGCATAGTTTTAGAAGATTATAATGGCCAGTGCATCTGTGGGAAGTGTAATTGTGAAAGACAGCTTAGTTTTACAAATATGCTCCTTTAAAAAAAAAAAAAAAAAACCTAAGTGAATAGGTAGTTGGAAAATAAATGTTTAAGAAAATACTAAACCCCACTGTTCACATATCACGAGGTAAAACCACCATGTCAATCCAGTGGGCTTGTTTTGGATAAACAAAAATTCATTCATAAATAGTTTTTCATCTGGGCGTAATGTACACATATAATCTCAGACACTTGAGAGGCAAAGGCAGGAGATTTGTACATATTACAAGACCAGCCTGTGCAATTTAGTAAGACCTTGTCTAAAAATAAACGAAGTTATTCATATTTATTTGTATAAGTAATAGTCAATTTAAAATGTTGATTACAAATTTCTTTTGATGACAATATATCAATTAGTTTGCTGCCACCTTCGTTATAAAATGTGCTTTTAATTTTCATAGCAAGTGAATTAGATTTTATTATTATCCCTATTTTAATTTATTTTGCACATTATATGAAGGAAGAACACAGGTTCAGTGCTGGTTAACTCAGCACCTCACTGCTGTGTTTCTCTGCCATCTTCCTGTATTTGCCTTCCTGGAGGTTGACATGGCTCTAAAGCAATGATCTTCTCTCATAACACCTTTCATGACAGGAGTAGGGAGCTCTCTCTTCTCAAACTGTCTCCCTTATTATCAAGGAATAAAATCTTCCCCAGAGCCTTGCCAACTTCCTTTTCATGTTATTAACTGATCATTGGCAAAGAGAAAATAGAGTTAGTTACTAACACCATCTTGTAATAGTTACATTACAGCTACAGGGACTAAGAGAGGCATCCATCTTCCCTAAGGACTTGGCTATCTTTTCATACCTAAACCAAATCAGAATTTTAATTATAAAGAAAAAGGGGAACAAGCTTTAAGGAAGTGAACCAATGGGTCTGCCACTTCTGTGGTATGATGAGCAGCCTATACTCTCTTTCTTATAGTCTTGGGTTTTCTTTAAAAGTAGGTGTTTATCTGATGAGAGACAGGCTGTGAGTGACTCTCAGCACAAACATTAGGCCAACCGTCTGTACATCCAGCAATTTATTAAAAATCTCTATGTGTACCTTCTTGCTAAGATAATCATAGTAGTACCTACTTTGTAAGATTTCTGTGAAGTTAAGAGGGTTACAGGACAAATAGGGAGTATGGGAGAGTGATTGAAGGAAGGAAGGATGCAAGGATGGATGGATGAATTGCAAATTGGCTTCCATTAACATGAAGACAGAGCAGTCCCAGGCTTCACAGTCAGCAGAGCAATTGTGTTGGTCCTGTCCTGTCAAAATGCTGGGATGTAGCAGAGCAGTGGTATAAATTTTAATCCCCACACGACAACTTCAGTTCCCAAGAAGAACCATAATTCGGTTTAAGTTTGAAGGCTAAAAAAGACTAACATCCCTACTCAAGTACTCAGGCAGCTATTACTTAACATTTTTGCTCTAGTCATGTCTTCAGTTGAAGCTACTACTTCATACTAGGGGATGAGGGTATCTGTTTCACACAGTCTACAATTTTCACATGTTAATGTCATCCAGAAACATCCTCACAGATACATGTAGCATAATGTTTGACTAAATGTCTTGACATTCCATGGTCCAGTGAGGTGACACATTAAAGTTAACTTTCACATCCTTAGGCCTTTTAGTATATGTTTAACGTTGTCAATATTTTGTAATCTGAAAAAATTTTATAAATAAAAAACCTAGTTTGTAAAAGTTGTGTTTTCCTCAGTCATAAGTATTCATTTTAAAAGTATTCATTTTGCTTTCTAAAGGTATTCACTGCAGAAAAGTAAGTTTTTCATTATCTTCTCATTGCCAACCAATTTAGACATTTGTTGATGCTGTAAATCATATTCTAAGCTTGGATTAAAGTTGGATAGTATGTGAGTTTAGTTGATAATTCTCAATGTTTTTTAAGGATACACACTAAAAATATAGAAGAAACTGAATAAAATGAAAATTAGGCATCAGTCAATCATGATTTGTTGTAGTTTGACAGAGATCTCTTATTGGATTAGAGTACAACAGACCCTTAGAAATCAGCCTCAGGGAATAAATTGGTCACAGTTTCCCTCTCAGTTACGAGAGCTAAATGTTTGCCTTCAATTCCCATTCTACATTAGTTAACTGAATTAACTATTATCTCCCAGCTAGTCACCGTTCATGGCTTCAGCAGCACTTCCTCCTAATTCACTTCTACAGTCCTTCAGCCCTTTTGCTCCAGCCCCTTTTTTCTTTTCATCCTCAGTCTGCCTGTACAGTATTAGTCAGTTTCTAGGTTTGTACTTCCACCTTTCTCTCCAGGTAAACTATCCCCCATTAGCACATTTTGCAAGGCTTTTATTTCACAAGTCTTTATTTCTAGTTCCACCCTTTCTCTCAAGTATCTGACCAGCATATTTAGGTGACCACTGGACTCTGGTTGTCTCTCCTGTAAACACAACATAGCGGAAACAACCAAGATGCCCATCACTTGAGGAATGGTTGAGAAAGATGTGGTATTTTTACACAATGGA